ACCGCTCCGTCGGCTTGTTGGATTCGTAAAGCCGACATCCACGTAGACTTATTAACTCCATACCGGCTACCGCTCCGTCGACTCGTTGGATTCGTAGAGTCGACACTCGCGGAGACGTGTCGGATTCGTAAAGCCTACATCCTCGCGTACCGATCCGTCACCTTACTCGATTCGTAAGGTCGATCCCGCGAAGCCGCACCGCCGCCCCGGGGAAACCGATCCCCGCGGCACCGCATCGTAGCGCACGACCGCAACGTCAAATCCGACGCATCACATCAGCAGAGCCGTGTTAGTCGTCAAGTAACGGCTCTCTTCGCGCGACCAAAAATTAAAGATCCAAACGTCAACATCGTGCCGCAAGCACAACACGATCGACGCGTCACACGACCGCCCGCGTCCCGCGACCGCCAGCGGTCCTACAGCCGAGCGCGGCCGCAGCAGACATCAACACGCGCGGACACAAAAATCCGCGCGCGAAGCCAACGGCGTCGACTCAACCTGTACATACGCATTGTAAATAGCCATCTAATCGACAATATATATTATTATACTATCCATCCCACTGTCTTCACGATTATTGACATCTGCTCGAATCCGGACCACACCGACTCGCAGCTTATCCCGCACGGAACGCGAAATAGCGTTACAAATATAAAAAAAATATATTAAAAATAAATATAAAAAAAGAATATTTAAACTTATAAATAAAATTGTACATCGTTTAATGTTGCATTTTCTTTATTAAAATAATTCTTTATCACTTACAAATCTATAGCACCGAATTGCACATGACCGAAAGTCTCACAATAACATTTAGATTAATTAACGAAGAACAAAAAAATATATAATACTAAGAAAAAAATGTTGGAATTGATACAATTAAACGTCAAAAAAAACTTATTGCCATTGTCAAAGTTAACCCACTGCTATGAGATAAACGACAAAAGGAATATTGTAACAAGAATAAAGAACTTGCATGGGTTTATAAAAACTTATAAAAATGAAAAGCTTACAAAACAACATAAAGAATTTCTTCATCTTTGCATAACACAACTTGGAAATGAAAAAGTATTACTTTCAAATTAACGAAACTAAAAAGTTAGGAACATTTAAAGAACTTACTACTATAGTAACATTTTAATAGAAATGATAAAAAATAATAAAATATTTTAATATTTCGTATATGCTGTTATATCACATTCTTTTTGACATATTTTTCATTGATGTATTGCAACACATCCAATATGCATTCAAACTTATCAAAATCCTTTACTTTTGTCAGTGCCAAATGAATTGCTCCTACGATGGGATCTGGGGCTGTTGTATGAGCAGGTTCTATGTTATTCTTTGCAACCAATGTCTGTGAAATTTGTCGAGCTAGATCATTAAATCCTTCACATTGTTTAATATATGTTTCTGTCAAAATATCTTCTGATTTCCTTTTCCTTTTATTGAAAGCATCAGGTGGAGGAACTGTCTTTGCTGTTGCCTGATTCGTTTTCCGCAGAACCTATTCTGTAGAATAAATTTCCTCCCCTGGTGTTCCAATTCCAACAGTACATGTTAATTGCGTTTGGGACTGAGGCTGTGCTTGCATTTCCAGCTGCTTTAGAGACTGGAATGATATCTTTGGAGACTTAGAAGTAACAGAATCACTTGTATCATCGCCTGAAAATGGATAGGTTTACTGTTACATACACATGCACAATAAGTATATCTTTTATACTATTCTGTACATAATACAATACATACTGGATAATCATGTATAGAAATTTGATGTCAAGTTAACATTACGAGTATGTGCAGCTGTAATATTATGATACGGGTGTATATCAGTTGGACACGGGGCAATTGGACACAGTCCAATCACAAGTCGCTGTTCCAAGGGACCCTACAAATGTCTCTAATCACACGGTGCTGTGATTGGCTGTGTCCAAATGCACCGTGTCCAAGTGCACCGCTCCCTTATGATACACTGTAGATGGCTTCATACATTGCGGCACAGTCAGTTGAAACTGCGAGGACGAATAACTAACTTCATTTGATTTTGATGAAGACGCAGTTTTCATATAATTGCTGCTGCTTCTGTAAACAATAACGATATAATTTATAATATTTCTCTGAATATCATATTTAAAATAAATAATCAACATACTTTCGAGGTACGATAACTGTATGTAGAAAACTATCACATATCTCATATAATTCCCATGTAGGAACATATGGGTTGCGAACTCTGCCCAGATTTTCTTTTTAAGGACATAATTACTTTACGTCTCTCTTTTCCATATTTTTGTCGAATTTTATAAAATTCTTTTTCAGCTTCTAGACCTGCAAACATCAACCAGTTTTATAACCTCAATTTTCGCTAAATACAACATACCAAAGGTACAATGCGGATATTATTACCTGACATATTTTCAAATATTGCAGCCACAGAGGCCCATACAAGTTCTTTATTCTTACTACAATATCCCTTTTGCCGTTTATCCTATAGCAGTGGGTTAACTTTGACAATAGCAATAAGTTCTTTTTGACGTTGAATTGTATCACTTCCAACAATTTCTTCTTCATATTCCTCAAAGTCACCAACGCTATCAACGCCATCCACATTATATTGATCATCCATTATAAAAGAATAATTACACAATAAAACTGCACTTGCACGTCCACAAAAAACCATCGGCATAAATACATATGTCGCGTCTTGTTTGAAACATTCACATCGTCTCTGATTGGCTGGCAGTAAGACAGTAGATAGTAGGAAATGGGAATAAAGAGACGTCTACATTGGAAGTAAATAGCAAGAAGTAGGAAGTAAGAGTAAGAAATTGACCAACCACAGTCGAATGTGAGAAGAATAATCAACTATGATTGGTCAATTTCTTATTCTTACTTCCTACTTCTTACTGCTTACTTCCAATGTAGACGTCCTTTAAACCATTTCGCTTACTCCTACTGTTACACCGATAAAACCCTCTTACTTCCTACTCCGCGGTCTTACTACCTCCAATGTAAACGTCCCTTTACACTAGGAATCTTTACTGCTAATGTCATCATCACCTAAAACCAATAAGCTATGCTATGCGGCTTTGCAACCTAGGATAACCTCAAACTTTTTATCAAAATATTTATATAAAAATTTCTACGAAATATTAAGAAATATTATGTAATTTATATGTAAAAATTGTTTCGCTAACTTTATTCAATATTTTATGAAATTAAAATTAAGGAAGAAAAAGGATTACCTTTGATATTAATTAGATCGATCAATCGATCTGCCTCGTCACCACATTAATGGACGGTACTCACGCTACTCGGCTACCGGAAAAAGATCGAAACAGGAATGATGTATCAGATGGCGTTGGTATGGGTGTATATCAGTTGGACACGGGGCAATTGGACACAGTCCAATCACAAGTCGCTGTTCCAAGGGACCCTACAAATGTCTCTAATCACACGGTGCTGTGATTGGCTGTGTCCAAATGCACCGTGTCCAAGTG